TTATAATACCGGTAAAGCTGACTTGTCGCCGGTTCCTTTGTCGACAAGCGGACGGTTCCTCCAAATCACAAGTTTGGGAAGACAAAATGAATTGGAGCAACCTTACGGAGCTCAAGTAGCTTTACGGTGGCCGATGCAAGCGCCGCGTACAATAGCCAGACTCTTACTTGCAGAAGTGAGGATATGTCAAGTTTTGGCTGTGGGATGAATAACCAATCAGCTGCCGCCAATCAGATGAGGCGGAAGTATCGATTGACTTTGAGCGTACGCGCGTATGAAGCAGCGAGTGGGTCGATAACGTGGAAAAGGCCGATAACGCGCGGATTAGATGACTAGGCATGGGTGTAGGCCCTGGCAGGGCGAAAGCAGAGTCAACGCGGCAGGCTCCCACAGACTTGTGTAACTGACTAAAAAGGACACGAGAACAGGAACCGTCCGCAATGCGTGTGACTTTGTACAAAATTCCAGGAAAATTGGGTTTAGGATTTTAGTTAGGATTAAGCACAGAATTAAGTTTAAGGTAAGCATTGGAGGTCAGGGACAGGATTATATTTAGGTTTGAGTTCGTGTAAACTGTAGGGTTTGGGGGTTAAAGCCAGAGTTGGGGGCGGGGGGGAGGGTAGCGTCAGGATTACGTTACGAATGAAGATTTGGGTTCGTGTTAACTGCAGGGTTTGGATTTAGGGTTAAGAATAGGCTTACAGAGGATTATTTACTCTTCCTAAAATTTATCACCAGGCCAGCTATTTTAAGTTGGCAGGGTGGCTCCTTCCTATTATCGTGTCCTGTTTAGGCGGCCATGCAAAGCATCTTTGTGTGGATTTTTTAAAGAAACTGCTGTAACGCATACTTAACTGGTTCGTTGCTTGCTTGGCGTGCATTCAAGCATTCTCTCCCCACCCCCGCTGCCATGCAGTCAGTTCCAGCCACTATAGATGCCGATAGATGTGCAATTCTGCCCTCCTTAAAGTACTAAATTATTTCCACGAGTATTGAGGAAAGACCAGAGTCTGAATTTGCTTGGAGATAATGCACTAAACGCCCAATTCGGGGAGTATTCAACCACGCCCTATTCCTGCCAGAATATACCACTAGGCCGGTCTCCCTGTCTAAGCCCTTGTGGACCTTGCCTTCATTCTGCCATTAGAATACCTCCTTCAATCCGGCAAATAATACTTTACTTTTTTCCACTCCCCGCCTGCCTGCGTACAGTCAGTAACCAATCTCCTGAAATGTTAGCTGAAATCAAGAACTGCCTTTTCGATTAGGAGGGAAGTATCATCATGGCATCGCAAAAAACGACATTTCTATAATACGCCAATGAAGGTAATTTAGAAAATGTTTATTTTGCATGTAGCGATGAGAAGTAAAAATAACAATTCAGTCTACTAGAAATCAGTCGTTACAACTGCAATAATCCAAGTTAAATGATACCATCTGCATACTAGATATAAAGAGAGGTAGACTCTACAAAAAATAGTAATAATAATAAAGTAACTGTTCGTTAACGCCTAGTTCCTAATTAAATATGTGGCTCAATAGAATTGCTGTCTTAACGAGCGAAAGGAAAGACTTTCATTTTTTGATGTTTTCGAAAAACAGATCTTGCGGCGAAATGTGAAAATATGGTGATACTTATAAGCTAAATTTACCGGAAGTATTACTTAAACTGTGTTGTAATATCAGGTATTAGGGGGGGAGGGGATTGGTAGATTTGGTTAATTCGGTTGGCCGCGAATTTTTAACAATTAAGTCGACTGTAATCTCAGTTATTATGCGGCATAATTCCGTGATATTTCAGGCACTCGAGAATGTTGACTTTTGAATGCGTTCCTCTGTGATAGTCTGCTAAATCACAGGACCAATGAGTTCCGTAAGCGATTAGACTCGTATCTGTTCGTTTATCAATGCTCGCAGAAAGTGCACAATATATTCTGCATCCATTGCACAGTTTTATGGGCACTTTATGGTATTTGCTTAATGACGTAGAGGAATGCAGGCTAGTCCCTCCACCGAAAGCGGGTGGCTATTAGAATGTGTGATTTATTATCAAATAAGTACAAAAAGACTATTCTGACTTTGTTTAAAAAATTAAATTAAGTGTGTCTGACTCAATCAGGGCATCGAAAATCAGTAGAAATCAAACATATGTATACTTTTCATATATTAATTTTACCGAGTCGGACGGAAGAACGTACGTTCAACATCCGGCATCCTGAGTCGTTTAAAATATCTTGCTATTATACTACAAGTTAATAAATATAACAGCCCCACTTAAGTAATTCTTCCAAATCTAACACGCATTCCAGCAGTTTTGTTAACATTTCGTACGTCCAGCCATTGACTGTGTTCCCTTCCTCAT